AGAGAGAAGTAACAGGAAAAAACATGCAGACAACAGGTGAAAGGATAGAATCTTCCTTTTTTGATTCTCTCTTTTTTTTTTTTTTTAAATTTTCCTTAAAGAGACAGTATATACTTCAACTTCAGTTTAGTTATTCAGCATCTTCCGCTTTTGGCACAAACCGCTCTCCACAGAAAAGATTCCAAGTTAAAAGAACTATCTATTTTATGTTATTTGGCAGAATACGAAATGGAAAATTTACATCCTTTTTCACAAAAGAGTCGGTGCTGGTTGGTACGTAGAAACGTAAAAGTATGTACTGTCTTTTTCAGACAAGCAACCTTACAGGAAAGAAAATGAATGCAAAGTATGCCACATGCTTATAAACAGAAGAAATTGAGTACAGCTTGCAATGGTAGCATTAGGGGAAAATTCATGCAGTTTTTTCAAGGACAAAAATAATTCAATATCAAATAGAGGCATTCAGATGATTTAAAAAATACTATACTGTGTAAGACATGTTTTAATTCAGTTTAGTGTTCAGTTCAGCTCAGTTTTATAATTTCATCTTGTTTTCCAGCAACTTCTGTGTTACTGTTGGAAACCTAGCCAATAACCTTACAGAACCTAAAATTATCCTGATAGCAAACCATTCAAACGATTCACATTTTTACATGAATGCGATTTTTTGTATGAACTAAAGCTCTTTCACAAACATAAGGACCCTATGCATTCCAGGTAAAAGCAAAAATGTCACTGGTTCCTATGAAGTAATTGTTTTAATACGTTCAGCCAAAATTTTCCTTCAGTCTTCCTTCTCTACTAACTGGAGAGATGTTGTGTTCGTGACATGCTAGTATTCCCAGTCCCCACGCAATAAGCTTCTCACTTTAAAGTAAGACAGCCTCAGTTTAAGTACACAATTTTTTGCTAAAGTCGATTTTTCTTTTTATAGAGTTCCTACAGAACCCTCAAAAGAGGAAAACTTAAAAGAAAGACTTTAGGTATCTTCAGATAATTTGGACTCTACAAGAGCATAAAAAGTTATAATTAATAATAAAACTTTCAAACGATAAAGGCCTCCTGATAATTAGGTCTTGATGGAACTCTGAAAAACAGTTAAAATTCAGACCATAAAAAAACACCGTTTCTGGAATCAAAGAAAGGTAGCTACTGTGATCCCTGGAAGCAAACTGGAAGAAGGACAAGAGAATACACCAAAAGATTTTGATTTAAATGAAAGAGAGGGAAGCACATCAGATCATTTAAAAGATCAGATGTCTTTATAAAGAACTATGAAAAGCTGAAGGGCAACAATCAAGTGTTGTTACTCAACCCACAGCAATTATTTCAAGAGCTATCTATTAAAAAAAATCAATTTGTGGATCTGCACGGTTGGACTGAACACATCATTTTCAAATATGTAAACAACCAATTAGAAAAAGAAATCATTCAGACTTGACCTCTAGGCTTGAGAATGAACAAGAGGTCTTTGTTTGAATAAAAGCATTAGAAACATTTCATGAACAATGTCAGGATACTATCCAGATCATTTCTCACTCCATAAATGTAACTAAGTGAGAGGGACAAGAAAACAAGACAGACCTTTTTATATCTTCAGTGAACAATGGGCAAGGCCTAGTCTCTAAAATTATCATGGAAAAGATGTAGATCATTGCAGTGGTGTCTAACTCCAATCCTAACTTTCAATTCCACTGTAGGACTGTAGCAATTAGTGTAAAACGTGTACAAACGCAAGCATGAATTGTTATCTGACTTAAATAGAGTAGACAAAGATGTAATGCTTTTACCACTAATATTCTTTAGCACAGATAACACGTTTAAGCTGCTAATACAGCGCTCTGTAGTCCAAAGCATGTAAGCCGCAGTTGCGAGCATCCATTTTGTCAAAATCAATGTAATAAAACTGAAGTTAGTACTGAACATTCATAACATAATTTAAATATATTGCTCTCTTACACATTGACTTTTACTGCTCATGAAAACATTGTAATGCATATAAAGCACTTCTATGGCAAAGAAGCTGTTGCACTACATAGCAAAATGGCCTGACTGGTTCATAAAAACTATTAATGAAGTAAAGAAGAACGCTTGACACACCAAGCTCTCACACAGCACAAAAGACAAACAGGTAGGAGGCCGTTTACTGCTAGCCAAAGGTAATCTTACCCGTATATCAGGCCTCCTGTATACCTGTTAGTTAAAATATAAAATGTTATCCAACAAAACACATGGATTTGATTTATTAAAGATATTGTATCTTATTTCATCAGATTTTCAGAAGAGCTCTACTTCCAAGAGTACTAATTAGTAGCCAGATTTAAAAAAAAAAAAAAAACAAAAACACTATATAGATCTACTAGCTCCCATTTGCAGAACTGTTTGGCTCTGAAAGCAATCTGGCCACTTCGTTTTAGTGATGAAACAAAAGCCAAGTTCTTTTGAAAAATTTACTCCTATTCATCCTTTTATCCAGTTAGAATGTGCTATTGTGAAAAGAGAAGAGTATGGTAATCCTTCCAGGCAAAATATAATAAGCCTGCAATAATAACTATGAAATATAATCACTGCATATTTTAGATTCAAATGCCAAAACAAGGATAGCTACAACCCTTCTCAACGTTTTTTCTCCGAAGGTGTCTATATTCAGCTATCATAAACTGCGCAATTTCCATTAATATGAAGTACTCGTTCAATAATTTTCCCCAGGCTGTCTGTCAGAGAAGATATACACATCAGAGTCCACAGTTAAATCATGTTACACCAAGATTAGCAAGCAAGAGCTAGTTCTATGTTCTCCAGTATTGACTACTCTGTTTGTAGCCTCTTTGCTTCCTTTTGATTTTTTTCTCCCCAGATACATTCTGGTGAATTAAGTTTCTGAAATGAGTAACACAGAAGCCACCACGAGATAAAAGAATCTATATATTTACTTGTTTTTGCAAACATATTGATTGAAAATTTAAAAAAAAAAGATAAAACAAAAAAAGGACCTTTCTACTTGAAGCTTCTGAGTTGATGCAAGATATTCTCTAAATGCAACAACTGGATGTAAACAAAGGTAACCAAGACACAGAATATTGATCAAGTGTGCATTAAGAGGGAAAGACGTCTCAAATGAAACTGTACAAACGTGCATTTTGGAATATCTCTTTATGCATGAATTCCACATTAATAATGAAGTTAAAGACTTCCATATCAAGAACGTACACACATATTAAACAAGAGACAGAAAAATTTTCAGGAAAATTAGCTTCAGCATTAATTTCTTGAAATGCTTGGCAATGCCAATAACTTGATCGCTAATATTTTAAGTGGGATGATGAAAATAAAAATCTCTTCCATTGTTTCAAAACACCACAAGAAATAAACACTCTAAATATAGACATTAATCATCTGCCAAAAAGTACAAGATACAGCTGGATATATTACCCAAATTATGGGAGAAATCCATCGTAGTCTCACTGTGACATAAAGTCATACACAAATCCATATTACTTGGCGTGATTAGCAGTACTTTCTCAAAGAAGAAAACAGAACTGCTGAACAATTAAAGTCTTTGAAGGTCTAGTATCTACACATGAAAATGTATTTAGCATCTTCCTGCATTTTTCTTAGTTTTAGCTGGTGTCCAGGAGTTTTATTCCCCTCTTTCCTACGTATTAGGGTTTGGTGGTTTTTCTTAACACTGAGTGTGCAGCGGTGAAGAGATCTTCTGGAAATATGTAAACCCATCATGTCAGTGGTACGGCCTAAGCAACTGATAGCAGCACTGAACTTCTGCAGAAGCTAAGTGCAAAGGAAATCCTTTCCTAAAGCACAATACACTACAACACACCCATCCTGAATGTAAAAGGCAAAAAATTCCATGGTATTATACACAAATATAGGAGTTTAAAATCATACCAATGAAAAAAGTTAAATACAATTTATTCACAAAAAATTTGGAATTCCAAAAGGTTCAACCCTTTTCTTTCATTTCTAAGAAAGAGAGAATAAAACAGAGTTAAAAGTTTTTAATTAGGCCTCAAAAGATTTATTCCTCTTAAGTAACATCCAAAACGAGAGAAGCAGATTATTTAGAATAAAAAAGCACTCTCTACTCCAGAGGAACGCATTATGACTCAGAAGATAAACTCAATACCAAACTTAAGAGTTTACTAAAATGAAGTCCTTGATCTACAGGGCAAAAACAACATAGGCAGCTGTAACGCAAGGTTTCCCACAATGTTTTATCAAAGACATTAGCCTTGACCGAGAGCAGGCACTTGCAATTCAGCTGCCATAGCATGGAAGAGCTACCCTTTTTTACGAGCATAAGCTGCTGACTGTGCCAATATAGTGACAATCTCTGTGAGGTGAATTCTTAAACAGACTAAGATCAAATACACTTAGTGGATTCATCTTCAGGCTGGAGCTGAATTTGACCTGCAATCGCAGAAGCCAAAATACGCCCTCTCTAGACAACATCCAAACTTTTCAAACACAGAGAGCTTAGTAAATAATTATACCCTAGTTAAAAGCCGAAGACACAAATTTTATTTGCCCATTTTGCATGAAGATCATAAAACGATAGGTCAACACTAGGAAGAAAAAGGATAGTACATTTTGTGGTCTAAATAATAGCAGCCTGGGTTTCTTAAAGGGACTTGAAACGCAGGTGAGACTTCTGCCCATTTATAAGAGGAGGAAAACTGATGATGCTCTACTCTTGATAGTTCCAGGCTGGCTTTCTGCATATACAGCAAACAGTAAAAGAGCCTGAAAGAGGACGGGTAAAAAACGTAACGAATCCTATCAGGTTAACCATACTGCACAATATTACCTCAGTGATAGAAATGTTGCTGGGAGGGTAAGAAAAAAAGGTACGCTCTTTGGTTTTGGTGTTAACTTGTCTGTCTCTGGTGAAATCCCTTATATAAGGCAAAAAAGAAGCCATATTGTTCTTTGCAGAGTAGCAAAGACATTCTTTTTTTGGTGAAATCTGAAAAGCTAAATTGTACCGTGCATCATTTAGAATAAAGAAAACATTTCAACCTCCAGTTATTAATCTATCTTACTGAAAACTTCTATGTAATAATGCAAAGGAACAACAACTCACTTTTGCTGTTTTATGTAAAATATTGACTTTTAATTTTCTCTATTTTATTTTATTCTGTAGAATTCAATGCCACTACTCTAGACTATGCACGTAAGCAGAGAACAGTTGCTAAAGATTCCTAAACGTCATGAAACGCTTCTAGTTTTGGAACATTCACATATCACTTACGTACTTACCACCCGACAATCAAGGTAGCAAGGAATTTCCTGATCATTCCCTCCTTTAACATAAATAAGCCAATCTGCACCCCTCAGGTCACTTACCCTGTAGTCTCTGGACACTCCTTCTGATGGGACAGACCCTGAAATCTGACTAGAAATGGTTGCAGCTATCAGCTGTTTACACCATTCAACATGTGATCCAGTAGGGCTACAAAAACAGAATATTTCAAATTATTTAGCAATAACTCAAAATTTTTGTTGACGACAGTATACCAACTGAGCATAACTAAAGAACAAGACCATAAATGATCACTAAGGTCATAAAAATCAGCTTTCTGATTTTTACGATGTCAGTAGGCAGAACACAACTATTTTGCTGATCAAATTAGAGAAATCATTTAATTTTACTAGAACTTATTGAGGCATAGAGCTGTCAATAGGTCCAAAGTGTGGCTAGGGTCCTAGAAACGTATAAAAATGTTGTCTCCTTACCCAGCGTAACTTGTTCAACATTGATACATATATTTTTTTTTTCTTAAAGCCATACATGGAATGAATTTGATCATGTAATACTGTAAAAAAACTCCTTACTTTTCCCACTGTTGTTAGTCAAGAAATTCTCTTTAAAATATAACAACTCTGGGCTAATCTTTAAAAACGTAAGCTACTCTAGTGTTGTTTAGAAGTATTCTATGTAAGTAATATTACACATAGAAAATACATATTTTCTAAACAGCAATTTCTATTTAGCCATATTTCCTTTTGGTATTCATCAAATAATCTCAGAAAAATCTTTATGACGGGCCTTCCCATGCCACAGCAATGAATTCTGCAATGTGGCGTGTTCACAAGAAGCCTAAAGACAAGACATCTAACAGTAGAATTGTAATTAATTTGAGGTGATACATTTTGGGAGCACTTGGGACACTGAAGTGAACAACTACAACGCCATGAACATACACAACACAGAACAGCTACAACTGGGATGTTAAGAGGGTGTGATACTGGTATAAGATGACAAATTACAAATTAACTAGAGGTCTGGTCTTAACACATTGACACTGCTAGGACAAGGTAGGTATGATTTGACCGTGCATGTAGCAAAAACAACAAATCACACCCGAAACAAAAAACTCCAAGAACTCTAACAACAAAAATTTTAATATTTTTCTCCCCACCTGCAAAACCCTCTCAGTACCAGTTCATAAAATGTTTTTTGTTATTAAAATGTCTATTACATTCCTACTTGAACACAAATCTGAGGGCAGTGCTGAACTGGATTTCAGCTTCATTTAGAGAAACCTTCCCTCATGTTTTGCAAAAGAACGCAGAAGCTAGAAGTTTACAGTAATCCTTTTCTGATCTCCTTTACTTCTCCTTCCCTCATACTGCTGAATTTCTACTGTCTACTGGGTTGGCCAAAGTTTGTTTCCAGCTATGTATTTACTTCTTATTTTTGAAAAAGATTTATTTTTACTGTAACTTGTTTTCACTAGGAATCACTAGATAAACAGTTAACATGACTAGGAAAACTAATGTGAAAGCGCTTACACACCCTGTGATCAGTGTACTCATACCAATATGGCATTATTACAATCTGTGAAGTGGGAAACATACCAGTATATATCTTTTCATTCTAGTTTATCCATCATCATGCACACTAGTTTATCCTGGTACAGCCATAATGGTAAATAAATAAATTACATTATAATACACCATCATTATAACTTTTCTAGGGTGTAACAAGAAGATCAGAAGGAGAGAAAGAGAAGGTGAAAATTAAGAGGGAAGATGAAAAAGTACATTAGCAAGGAACAAAAATATGGAAAACTTAGTGACAGAAGACGGACATCTGATTTACACCTTCACTAGAGCCACGTGAAACACCTGGCTTCTCCTAACAGGAAAGCGAGCGAAGATGGAGAAATATGGAGAGTGGAATGTGGTACCAACTCTTAAATAAAATATGTTTTCTTTTTGCTTAAATTAGGCGACGTTTCAGTTTGCTTCTAATCCTCGTTTAAGGATTTTTAAATTAAACTCTGAAGGCTGTCTCCAAAGAGAAATTTCTACATAAGAAGTTACTCTAATCTTTAGGTGCTCTGAGTTAGATACAGTAACACCTGGCACCAGACTCCTGAGCAGGTATTTACTGGCGAAACCCCCCAACCTGAAGCCAACAGAAAACCCAACTTGCACCGAGCGCGGAAGACCTACACATCCGCAAAAGAACCGACCTACCGCTGGGGTCGAAAAACGCCTGATTTAAGGCCCTTATCCATCTGTAGATGAAACATACACTTGCACTTCAGAAACAAAAAATTAAAATACTTCTAAACCCTGAGAACGGTCTCGTTTGACATAACGAAGATAAGTCAAAGTACTCCCGAAAAAAAAACCCTAACCAAAATCCTGAAGGCAGCCTCACTCTGCACAAAAACAATGACGCCAATCACACACCAAAAAAAACCAAACAAACCCGACCTACAGTACCGCAAGCAGGAAACTTTTACAAGAACCAGCTCACTCGCAGAGGAAAATCCGCCCTGTGCTTGCGTGGTTGTTTTAAAAAAAACAAAGAAAGAAAAAAAAAACCGGATTTTCGGTTACCAAACGGCGTCATCGGCTGAGGGAGCCTGGCAGCGCCGCCA